TATATTATTATACTTTTCAAAACTTAATGTTACTTTTCAAAACTATATGTTATTATACTTATTCAAAACTAACTTTTTTTTCGTGCTGACCTCTGTTACGTTGTGTCTTAGGCCACGCAATTTATTTCTTCTTCGTTTAGTTTGTTTCTATTAATCGAATTGTGAAAAACAGCTGAATATTATACACGACAATTTCTAAATCATTACCATGAGGGCAGAAATGTAATTTAGAAAAGATTAACTGAATGCAGTTGCTTTCATGATTACTATAAAACTGATGAGAGCAAAAGGATTTTAAATGTAGAATTTTTAAATACAATTTTCTCTAACATGATACCATAAACAATGTTACTCCTTTCATTCGACTTACTTTTACAAATAACATAAACTTCTACCTCCTATATGTAAATATATTATATATTAGATATATTATATATTATAAAGGATTTATCCTATTTCAAACTTTTTCATCTTTCTTTTATCTCGCGCGCGAAACGAATCTTTTCCGAGCCGATTTCTTCGTCGGATTTTCGCTTTTTGGAAGGTTCCTTGAACGATCTCGTTCTTTGAAAAATACGAAAAGATCGGAAGGAAAAAAAAGGACGTGCAAATAGAATGTGTATGTGTGTGTATATGTGTGTGCAAGAGTGAAAGAGAAAAAGAAACAGGAAGGAAACGCAAAGAGTATCGGCACAAAGCAAAACCTTTAAAGGAAAATGCATCGCGATAGAAAATCTCCGATCGTCGAATGCAACCGCCTAATCAGTCTCCAATCGACAGGATTGACTCGGCTCCTTGAAACTCGCTTCCCGATTTCTTCGTTTTCTTTGCTATTCCTATCTTTCTTAGCATAGAAATCTCAAAAGAGATAGGAGTTCACGCGAATTCGATGCTTGAAGCTACGATTTTCTCATGGCACATAGATAAGTAAGTATATAAGAGAAACAACGTATGAGTGTATCACAAAGATAATCGTGTTTTCCTCGTCGATGGAGTATACGAATAAGAATAATAAAAGTCTATCAATGGAAACGTAAGGTTTTATTTAAGAAGCACGTAAAAGAACGTATCTTTTAATCATTTTAACTTACCTTCCTGTCTTCTCTCCGTCGTAGTCCTTAAGATTACGATGATTTTGGAGATGGTTAAAAAGCTTTTCCAACTCATCGAGTTGTTCGCTCCTTGCCTGGGTAATTTCTTTCAAAATCTGTAAAAGAAAGAGAAAAAAGTATAAATAGAAATAGGTAAAAGGGACGAATATCACTGATATATTGTTATTGTTAATATCCTGTCATTAGATTTGCTATATTCATTATTAGAGTAGTTCTATCTTAGACAAGTTTTCAACACCTTTTGTTCAAACAACTTGAACATTCGCATTTTGATTATCGATAAAGCAATATCGTAAATCTAATTTATTAGAATACCTATGCGAGGAATTTAAACAGTTAGGTATGTTCTTTATCGTGAACAAAAAATCCGTTGAAATGCCGTTACCTTTGGAAATCGAGCTGGCCTATCGTAAAATCTCACTTCTCGGGAGAGATTTTTGCATTCGCGGGAAAAAGCAAGCCGCGAAAAGAAGTTAAAGGAAACAAGCGGGACGTCGTTAGAACTACGGCCCGAAACAAATCTAGCACGTAATGTTTCCGCCGTAATGGCATTCCTAGAAACGATTCGAACGTAACCTCTCACCTCCATACGTCACGTTCACGAAGGGTTCTCTTTTGAAGGTGCGAGCAGACGAGGGAGCAGTCGTTTGCGCGTCGCCGGAACAACGAGGAGGTATTTTCTTTCTTCCACACGCGAGACTCTCATCCTCCGAAAAATCTTTCTTCCATTCATTGTTACTTATTTCCATGGACGTTCGCGTTTTTCTCTTAACTTTTACCTATCCTCGAATTTGTTTCTCTTACCAAGCAGTTTGATTCCCTTAGCTTTATCATGACTAAAATTTCATCCTAATAGAATTTTCTTTTCTTTTACTTAAATCGTTTTCATCTAATAATAATAGATATTTTTTATCGAATTTGTTTTCCATTACTGATTTGTAAAATAAATAATAAGCAAGTGAAATTTCATTCATAATAGCGTTAACGCGTAATATTTTATTTTTTTTAAATAACGTTTTCAAATTTGTTTCCTGGGAACTTAAAGGAGCGAAAAAAATAACTTGTAGTTATCCTGAAAAAGTATTCGTTAATATAGATTGAGGTGAGATGTTTACAGACTACTATTTATTTCGACGTTACTGTAGTTTGAAACGTTAGTAATTTATTTAGTAAATCGTCGAGTTTTTATAAACAAATCTTTTTCACTTTCTCAATTTCTGAAATAATCCAACTGCTGAACGTTAGAGAGTTCCTCGAACTCTATCAACAACATCATTGACGATAAAGATCGTATCAAGATCGTAACTAGGGAAACGTGTGAAAATGTGACCGGCTTTCGATTTTCGGCTTTTCGTTCGATTTATTTGGGCTTTCGCACAGTTTTCGCATTGGATAGCAAATCGATGCCGATAAATTTACGTATCAAGTTTCAATCGTGACCGTGTACCGAGAGAATCGAGAGAAAGAGGAAGAGAGGTAGTGTGCCAAAGGGGAAAAAACGGGTAAAATAGAGAATAGGAGAAAAAAAATCCGTCCTGGCCTCGAAAATAAAATCGGTTTTCCGATAACTCGTTATTTGCTCGCACAAGTGGCTCGCTGACTGGGCGAACACGTCGGAAACGGTTTTCGCGTGTAATATTATCGAGTTATCGGGAGGATAGAGAAGGCCATTGATCGTTGCTGCCGTTGCTGGAGCCAAACAAATGGAGCTGAGAAGGGGTTGAAAGCGAAGGACGAAAGCGCGCATTACTTGAGTACAATATATCCGCGTGATTACAATATGTCGGAGCTCGAGAGACCAATATCAACTTGAAGTCGGCTCAGCCAATGCTAATAATCTCCATTGTTGGTGCCTCACTCGAATACCTCACGATCGGATACATCTTGTTTCGAAATTTCGAATTGCCTCGCTTGTGTTCGTCGTCGGTATTTCTCGTCTTATCCTCTCGTTTTGCTTCACCGCAAAAAAGAAAAGTTTTATTTTCTAAGCTGGCACAATCGAAATTATACTTTAGAACGAAAAATAATTGCATGAATATAGGAACTATGATAAAAAAAAGTCTTAAGCTTCTTTTAAGAAATACGTGCTTGCATTCGTCGTTGACGTATAACTGTTGAAAAGGATGACGGTAAAATGAATTAAGATTGAATTAGTCGTTTTAAAGTAGTCAATTTGTATCTTTGAGAATGTCATTATCTAGGTAGCAACAAAACCGTTCGATTATTATTTTTCGAATATCGTTGTCCTATCTCAGTAGGTGTTGCCGGATGTTTAAATAAAGAGTTGGAAGAGCGCGGATTGTTCTACCTACAATGAAAGAATTAAAATCTGTTTACGTTGCTATTTTTGTTGCTTGCTATAGCAATCTGAAGTAGCTGCTTGAAGCAGCAGCCTGAAGCAGTAACATCAGCATGAGCAGGTAGGCACTCATGGAGAGTCGCCTTTCACACATCTCACACGAAAGAGACGACGAAGCTTGATTCTCTTTCAAAACAATTACGCGTTCTTTGGCATTTGTTCTCTCACGTCAGTTTTATCCTTGTCGTCATCGTTGTCGTCGTTGTCGTCTTCGTTATTATTGTCATCGATCTCGACTTTCCATGATACATGCCTAGACGTACATGCCTACACTTTTTTCGTTAACGTAAAAGAAAAGTAGGGCAAAAATGAACTCTAACGTCTACTTTCTTTTTCTTTTGGTCATACGTCTCTTTTTTTTTTATTACTTTCACAAAGTACAGTTATTGTTGATTATGTCGTCAGGAAATTTCGTAGGTAATTTAATACATAGTCTAGCGGAAGTTGTAATCATATAATCAATTTTGATTTTTCATAAAAAGGACGAATAAAACATATATATGAATTATTTTATGTTACCTCTTCCAACTAATACAATGTCAGAGATAATACCTACTTCCGCGATAACATTAATTATAGGGAGGAGAAATGTTCGTACTTATAATTACAGTACTAAAAGTACATTGTGTAGAATCAAGAGAATACTACACATGACAGTCGATCTGAGTATCGACTGAACAACCGATGACATTAAAAAAGGGATTTCATCAATCCTTATACAAATTGCAAATAATCATGTTGATATTTTATTCATAGTTTGATATGCACGATTGAAATTAAACCTATACGAATAAAACTCGCGAAGAATTTTGTAAATATTATACAAAATTACAAGAAAAAAAGAAATTTATTCGTATGTAGGTATTAAATGCATACTTATAAACTACACGATATTATTAATATTAAATGAATTTTTCTTATCTTGTTTCAGGTAGGTATCGAGATTGAGAGGTCGATGTGGCGCCGAGTTCTCTCTTCGCACGCACGAGTAAGTGTTGCAACGTAATACGTTTCTCATAGGGGTTTCGAGATACCTCGATAGATTTGGAATTTGTTTGCCAGGACGAGTGTATGTAAGCATCGACTACCGAGAAGTTTCGCAATCGTTTCTTGCGAATCGAAAAACTCTCACGACGATTTCCTATTCAACATTTTTTTCATGCGAGAAACGAACGAACGAACGAACGAACGTACTAACGTATATGTGTATACGTACATAGGTACATTCGTAGAAATGATCGTACCGTTAAAGGTCGGAGATCGTTTCTGGCATGACCTACCCTTGCTTGCTTGCCCCCGTTGCTATTGTCATTTCTCATTCATTTGTAAGTAGCCATATCGCGATTTACGATCCCTCTGTTGGTGACTTTTGCACGTTGTTCGATTCCGTAAGAGGAGAAGAAGGAGAAGGAGGAGTAGAAGGAAGAGAAGAAGGAGGAGGAGGAGAGGAAACACTTTGGCATGTGAAAGAGGTTTCAAAGAAGCGTGCTTTGGAAACCCTATAAATCTTTGTCATATGTCATATACGTCTATAAACCAAAACGAAAAAATATTGTATATAGACGCCATCTATAAATTTATTATCATCATATTTCTAATAGAAAACGTCGACGTTGCTTGGACTTCGGTACTCGAACGATGCGGTGTTTAAATTTGACGTTTAATAGATTTCAACTCGTTAAAAATAAAAAAGAATGGTTACTTTAATATTATCGAATAAGAATTTAAACGTTCTAATACTTTTATGTCGACGCTATTTCATCACACGCTTGATGCTTAGATATTTGCATATTTCGAGATTTGAGTTTAACGGATACCAAAATGAAGAAGAATAAGAGATCTGGAAAAAAGATCTTCACTAGTTACAACGACGTAAATCTGTAGAGAACGTACAATGAATTAACGCAACGCGTTGCATGTGTCCAATCATTTAATAATAAGAGGATGACACGCGGTAGAAAGACAAGATACTACTCGAAGAAAATGGTCGAGGTATTGTATGAAGCACGAGGTTGCATGCTTTTCAAAGGTGTTCTTGACTTATGAGATTTATCAGATAAACGATTCGTAGATTCTTTGCACTCGATGAGATAGCTTACACCTTACTTTCTCTTTTCCTTTTCTGTCAACCCTCTTTCTCCTCCCTTCGTCCTTTCTTTTTCTCTCTCTTTCTCTCTCAGTTGATGTTTCAAAGAAAAAGATAAAGAAATAGAAGATAAGAAGGAACAAGAGGAAAAGAAAAGAGAATTATAAGTAGACGACTTATATTCGAGTAACCGTGGGTAGACTTAGTATATCGTTCACTTAAATCAGTCATCACTAATTTTCATTGCATGAAGATAAAGGCACGTGCCGGAACAAGACGTTGCAGGTCATTCAAGATCGGATCGCGTTTCATGCAGGGAGAGAGAGAGTCTCTTAAATGGGAAATAGATTTTCCTTTATAGTTAATAATAAATACGTTGAGAGAAAAGTGGATTGGTCAGCGGACCAAAACCATAGACGGTTATTCGTATTTCATAAGATATACAAGTCTTGGTCGCGATTATCGCGTTGTCGCGAGGTATCGATAAACCGCACTGTTTTACGATGCAAAAAGATCGCATGGAACGAGCACATTTCAGTCGGTCGTTCAATTTCAACGTTGCAATGAGTTTTGCGGACTTTGGTCTAGCTCATCAGAAAGAAAAAAAGAGAGGGAGAGAAAGAGTATCGCTTTAGGTACGTAACTCAGTC